ACCGAAGGCGCCAGTGGCAGGGTTTGCATGGCGGCCTCGGGCCATTTCGGCACACCCCTCACGAGGATCATGCCCCGATAGACAGCTCCACCGAAGGCGTCAGTGGCAGGGTTCGCATGGCGGCCTCGGGCCATTTCGGCACACCCCTCACGAGGATCGTGGCCCCATAATTAGGCAGCTCCACCGAAGGCCCCAGAGGCAGGGTTTACATGGCGGCCTCGGGCCATTTCGGCACACCCCCTCATGAGGATCATGGCCACGGCGGCCTCGGGTCATTGCGGCACACCCTTCACGAGGGTCGTGGCCCCATAGGAGCTCCACCGAAGGCGCCAGTGGCAGGGTTTGCTTGGCGGCCTCGGGCCATTTCGGCACACCCCTCACGAGGATCATGCCCCGATAGACAGCTCCACCGAAGGCGCCAGTGGCAGGGTTCGCATGGCGGCCTCGGGCCATTTCGGCACACCCCTCACGAGGATCGTGGCCCCATAATTAGGCAGCTCCACCGAAGGCCCCAGAGGCAGGGTTTATATGGCGGCCTCGGGCCATTTCGGCACACCCCCTCATGAGGATCATGGCCACGGCGGCCTCGGGCCATTTCGGCACACCCCTCATGAGGATCATGCCCCGATAGACAGCTCCACCGAAGGCGCCAGTGGCAGGGTTCGCATGGCGGCCTCGGGCCATTTCGGCACACCCCTCACGAGGATCGTGGCCCCATAATTAGGCAGCTCCACCGAAGGCCCCAGAGGCAGGGTTTACATGGCGGCCTCGGGCCATTTCGGCACACCCCCTCATGAGGATCATGGCCACGGCGGCCTCGGGTCATTGCGGCACACCCTTCACGAGGGTCGTGGCCCCATAGGAGCTCCACCGAAGGCGCCAGTGGCAGGGTTTGCTTGGCGGCCTCGGGCCATTTCGGCACACCCCTCACGAGGATCATGCCCCGATAGACAGCTCCACCGAAGGCGCCAGTGGCAGGGTTCGCATGGCGGCCTCGGGCCATTTCGGCACACCCCTCACGAGGGTCGTGGCCCCATAATTTGGCAGCTCCACCGAAGGCCCCAGAGGCAGGGTTTACATGGCGGCCTCGGGCCATTTCGGCACACCCCCTCATGAGGATCATGGCCACGGCGGCCTCGGGTCATTGCGGCACACCCTTCACGAGGGTCGTGGCCCCATAGGAGCTCCACCGAAGGCGCCAGTGGCAGGGTTTGCATGGCGGCCTCGGGCCATTTCGGCACACCCCTCACGAGGATCATGCCCCGATAGACAGCTCCACCGAAGGCGCCAGTGGCAGGGTTCGCATGGCGGCCTCGGGCCATTTCGGCACACCCCTCACGAGGATCGTGGCCCCATAATTTGGCAGCTCCACCGAAGGCCCCAGAGGCAGGGTTTACATGGCGGCCTCGGGCCATTTCGGCACACCCCCTCATGAGGATCATGGCCACGGCGGCCTCGGGTCATTGCGGCACACCCTTCACGAGGGTCGTGGCCCCATAGGAGCTCCACCGAAGGCGCCAGTGGCAGGGTTTGCATGGCGGCCTCGGGCCATTTCGGCACACCCCTCACGAGGATCATGCCCCGATAGACAGCTCCACCGAAGGCGCCAGTGGCAGGGTTCGCATGGCGGCCTCGGGCCATTTCGGCACACCCCTCACGAGGGTCGTTCCCCGGAGCTCTACCGAATTCCCCAGTGGCAGGGTTCGCATGGCGGCCTCGGGCCATTTCGGCACACCCCTCATGAGGATCGTGGCCCCATAGGAGCTCCACCGAAGGCCCCAGTGGCAGGGTTCGCATGGCGGCCTCGAGCCATTTCGGCACGCCCCTCACGAGGATTGTGGCCCCACAGTTGTGCTGCTTCAGTAACCGCGCCTGGGCGTCGTACTCCGCCTTGTCGACGTGCAACGCCACCTCCTCCCTTATGGGTCTCAGAGCCCTCTCCTGCTTCTGCTCCTCGGTCAGAGGGGCGCCGTCCTCGTCGTCGTCTGCACCCGCGAAGACGGCCATGAACGTGTCCCTGAGCATGTCGGGCTCCGGCCAGTGGTATCCACAATTGCGGCATTCACAACTGCACCTGGTCGAGTCCTTCGCCAGGCTGATGTTTAGGCTAGTCGGTTTGTTCCCGTGTCGGTCGGACGGCTGGCAACTCGGAGGAATGGCTTGCTGTCTCACTTGATGACTGCCTACCCATTCTGGCTGTGCGCTGGCTGGCTGTTTGCGCGCATCCGGCATACACCACGAGGAGGGACGGTGGCCCCGGGAGTGCGCCCCCGTGTAACTTCGCGTGCGCTATCCGGCTGCCTCCGCCACCGCCGCCACCGCGCCGGCGCAGCATCGCGCAGCACTCTGGGCGGCAGCCGCTCGAGAAGGCAAAGGGGGCCTGCCGGGGGCCGCCTCGGGCAGAGGCCTCGAAGTCGGGGTTCGCGTTTCCACGCGTAGGCCCTTCTTGGAACCGTCGCGGGGCCCGCTCGGACAGTTGTGGGCGCCTCTTGGGCCGTCTTGGAGCCCTCTTGAGCCGTCTTGGAGCTCTCTTGGGGGCCTCGGGGGAGTCTTGGAGGCCTCGTACACCGTCTTGGAGCGTCGGAAGCTCGAAAAGGCGAGAACCCAAGCTATACGGAAAGAACAGTCGCAAATCAATGATGTTGGCCTCTTCCCGCCTTGCTGGAGGCTCCCTTGGAGCCATTTTGGGCCGTGTTTGAAGTCTTTTGGACGGTCCTGAGGCCATTTGGGGCCATCTCGGGGCCATTTTAGGTCATTTTGGAGCTATTCTGGGCAGCTTGTAGGCGTTGGAGAGCGCCACGGATGTGTGAGGCATCCCAGGAAGTCTCGGGAAGAGGGGGCGGTGCAAGCAGGTTGGCACGTCGATAGAGAGGGACCCCCAGAAGCACCACAGAAACCCTGCCAGGCAGACTTTGTGGTGGCCGATTTACGATGATCCGCGGCCTCGAGCCCAGCGCCGAATTCTCCGGGAACGACGGCTGGGGGGGCCGAAATCGCCCTTCGAACACATATTCCAACGGCCTCGAGCCCAGCGCCGAATTCTCCAGGAACGACGGTTGGGGGGGACGAAAGCGCCCTTCGAACACATATTCCAACAGAGATTATATATATGTTGTATAAACATATAGATTTACATACTTATATATATATATATATATATATATATATATATATATACAAACATACTGGCTCGTCAAGGGGGGGGGGCTCCTCTGGGCAGCCTCCGTGGGGTGGACGCACCTCGGGCGCGGAGCCGTAAAGCGGTAACCTGCAAAGGGTCGTGGCCGCTGCGGCTTCGGTTTGGCGCAGCCCCGCGGCATGTCACGCGGGAGTGCAGCCTCGGGGGGCGCAGGCCTCCCGTCATTCGTTGCAGCGCATGTTTCGGGGAGCGAGGATCTGGTGCACCCGATGGGGAGTTTTGGGAGCGCAGAAACTCGGGTCGGGCGAAAGGGGGGGATTGGGAAAGGGGGGTTACGAAATTTGATGCATGCAGCTGGTTTCGGCCTCACCGAGGGGCCCATTCCTCGATACATGGGCGCCTCCCGGCGCCGGGAGGCGCCGGGAAAATCAGCTACGTGAGCTGATTCTCAAACCCCCCTTTTGCTATCCCCCCCTTTCGCCCGACCCGAGAAACGCAGCAAATGACGAGGGGCTCTGGCTTCGGAGGCTCGAACCTGTACTCTACACAGGGCTGTGGTTTCGGGTCCAACCGGTGTAACGTTCGGAGGCCCGTGGGTTTTGGAAACGCGAGGTGGGCGTAAAGTGCAAGCGGTTCTGGCCTTGGGAGCCCCAGCGCGTTGCAATGTACAAAGGATTGTTGCTTTGGGCGCAGGCTTGTAGAACTCCTACAATACTTCACAATGTGCTGCGGCCTCGAGAGCGCGCCCCTGCTGTTATCTACCAGGGACGGTGGTTCCGGGAGCCCGAATCTGGTGCAACGTAAAGGTGGTTGTGGCCCGGGCAGCGCGAGCCTGGTTGAACTGATCAGGGCTTGGTGGCCTCATGGGTTCGACCATGCCACATTTCACGTGTCCCAGGGCACCCCAAGAAATTTTGTGAACCCCCATAGGGAGGGAATGCGGAGGATTGTGAAGGCCTGACGGCGCCAGTGCCGCCGACCCTGAAAGACATCGACGACGACCAGGAGGGGGATGAGGAGGAAAAGGAGGAGGAGGCGAAGATAAGGAGGAGGAGGAGGAGGAAAAGGAGGAGGAAAAGGACTCCCCACTGGGACCCCCCCCCTTGGGGAGGAGGACCGGAGGAGGAGCGGCATGGGAGAGGGGAGGGGAGGGGGGAGGAGGACCCCCAGGGACGGATGCGCATCTGCCCCCCCCCCCCCTGGGACTCCTCCCCACCTGTGGAGGAGGACCCGGGGAGGACCAGCGCGCCGGAGAAGGACCGGCGTGGGAGAGGAGGACCCCCAGAGGCGATGCGAATATGCCCCCCCCACCCGGGACCCCCCCCCCCCGGCGGGGAAGGGACAAAGGGAAGGGGTGTCACGTCGACGTAATGAGGACGTGGATGGAGTTCCCTCGAGCTGCGAACTTGAACGAGGAAGGGTGCTCTCTCTCTCTCTCTCTCTCTCTCTCTCCCCCGACGGAAGAGGAGGATGGGAAGGAGGGGGCGAAAGAAGGCCCCCCGTCGACGGGACCGGACAGACACCCGACACACGCCGACAGGGTCGGCGGATTTTCAGATCCCCGCACCGCGCGGAATTCGATGTTTTTTTTTGTTTCCTCTGAATATGGAACGAGTCCCAAAAAAACGTGCAATTTTAATTCGGAGCTGGGAATCGGGATTTCCGCAGGGAGCAAGACAACCTAGGCCAAGCAGCCTGCTGGGTCCCAAAGGAGGGCGGCGGATAGTCTTGCAACTCGGCGCATAGCAGCTAATCCGTAAGTCCGCTTGGAGTGCTTCTGGCTTGTGCATGACATGCTGGCTGTACCACAGCACGGTTTGCTGGAGTCTCTTTTGCCTCTCAGTGCACATGAGCTTCCCAGGTTGGTCGCCTACGCGGGTGTCCTTTCCGCCGGGACGCTGGCCCTGTTTTTGCTTGCCAGGCGACGCGTCGTGCAGTCCGCGCTGGGCTTCTTCCCAGGAGAGCCCGCCCCCCGCACCCTCTCGCAGGAGGTGGCTTCAAGTCGGGAAGCCACCGGAGTGTTTTGCGGCAGTCTCGCTCCAGAACGAGCAGCCCCCGGCGCAGGCTGACCAGCCGATTCCCGCTCTGCTGTTCGGAAACCCTTCGCGACGGCCGCAACTTTTGTCCTGATGATGGGAGGCTCCTTGCCACCCGCCCATTTGACCTTCCTCCTTCTACCGAGCATCATTTCAGGCCATTGTCCTCCTCCATTCTCCTCCTCCTCCTCCTCCTCCTCCTCTTCCTCCTCATTCTCCTCCTCCTCTCTCTTCCTCCTCCTCCTTCTCCTTCTCCTCCTCCTCCTCCTCCTCATCATCATCATCATCATCAGCATCATCATCCCCCTTCCTCTGAAAAGGGTCCGAATCCACGAGACCCCGTAAGACACTGGCAAGTGTCCTCACTGCAATTCGAGATTCCGCTTAAAATATGTCAATGGCCTCTCCATGGTTCTCGATCTTCTCAGTCTTCTCCTTGGCACTTTCAGTTTGTGCGGCGGGGCAACCTCTCGCGTAGCGGTGCCATCCTCGCTCCGAACGTGAGCATCAACCCCCATATCGCGGATTGGCCAAAAGGTCAGATCTTCCCTTGTCGCCGGAGAAACGTTTGAGCTAGGGTCTAGCATATTGCGGGCAAGTGTTTTTTATCATCTAGGAGGAGGAGGAGAAGGAGGAGAAAGGGAGGAAGAGGAGGAGGACATTTGGAAGGGCCAGCGGCGGCGACGAAGTCTGGAAGGCGCAGCTACTGGGAGCTGGGCCACGCCCCCTGGCGCGTGTGAGGATATTTGCGGACCGTCCAGCCTCAAGGGTGGCTGGCTACTGCAATCAGAGAACGCATGTGTTGAACGGGCCTGCATGTCTGTTGAGATGTAGCCAGAGTTTGTCGGCGGAGCTAGCAGGAGGAGGAGGAGGAGGAGGAAGAGGAGGAAGAGCCAGAGTGGAGCAGGAGGAGGAGGAGCAGGAGGAGGAGGCGGAGGAGGGGGCGGAGGAGGAGGAAGAGGAGGAGGAGGAGGCGGAGGAGGAAGGGGGAGGTGGGGAGGATGGAGGAGGAGGGAGGAGGGAGGAGGAGGAGGAGGAGGAGGTGGGGAGGAGGGGAAGGGGGGCGGAGGAGGAGGAGGAGGAGGAGGAGGAGGAGGAGGAGAGAGGGGCGGAGGAGGAGGAGGAGGAAGAGGAGGAGGAGGAGGAGGAGGAGGAGGAGGAGGAGGAAGAAGAAGAGGGGGAGGGAGGAGGAGAAGGATGAGAATGATGACGAGGAGGAGGAGGAGGAGGAGGAGGAGGAGGAGGACGAGGATCGTGGTGTTGCTCTCGCCTGGGACCTGTCAGGGCTCCTGACAGCGCAACCCGCTGGCCCCTCGTTCTCCTCCTCGCGCGCCGACGCCAGGAGCGGCGGGCTACGAGGAGGCGCCGGCGGGCGAGGAGGGGAGCGCGAGGCACGCCGCGGGCTGGGGCTGCCCCTCCCCAGACGCGGCGGCGCGCCGGGGGGGAGACAACTGTACACATTGTGCAATTCTATTTCTTCGAGAGTCCTCCGATTTTTTGGGGGCCAAGATCCTTTCATCTCTAACTGTTCTGTCCTGGGCCTCTTCCTGGCCACTAGGGGGCCAGGAAGAATCAGAAACGAGCACAAGTAGAAGTGAGCACAATTCGAAATGAACGACGTGTGCCCATGGGGGGGGCGGAGAGGGCCATGAGTGCGTGTGGGCGGAGGGGGTGCCCGCTCGCACGGGAGTTTCCCCGGGGCTCCGCCAACCCGCACCCATGCCCATAGCCAGTCCTCCTACCTCCGACCCCCCTATGGGTATTGGGTATGGGTGTGTGTGTGTGTGTGTGCGTGTGTGTGTGTGTGTGTGTATACATATAACGGCGCACCGGGTCCGGGGGCCCGGGGCCGGGACCTCGACCACAAATGTGCACCCCGGGGGGCCCGGAGGCTCGTCGGGGCTTGCCGGAGGCCTCCCCAGTCAGACAAGACGGCCCAAGAAGCGCCCAAGACGGCCCAAGAAACTTCCAAGAGGCCTCCAAGAGGGCTCCGAGATGCTGAAGATGGCCTCCAGACGTCCAAGGACGCCCCCAAGAGGCCCCAAGAAGCCTCCAACATGCGTCCCAAGAGGGCCCCTAGACGCAAAAATTGGCCCATTCCCTTCGTAAAACGTACATTTTCAACAAAGTTGTCTTTTGGGCTTTCCGACGTTACAGGACGGCCCAAGAGGCGCCCAAGACCGCCCCAAGACGGCCCAAGAAGCTTCCAAGAGGGCCCCAGGACAGCCCAAGAGGGCCCCAAGACGGCCCAAGAGGCGCCCAAGATGGCCCAAGAGGGCCCCAAGACGGGCCCAAGAGGGGGCCCAGAGGGGGACCACGAACCGCAAGCTCGAGCCTTCCGCCCCAAGAGGCCGCCAGGAGGCCCCCAGGAGGCCCCTCAAGAGGCCCCAGGAGACCCCAGACGTCCAAGGACGCCCCCAAGAGGCTCCAAGAAGCCTCCAACATGCGTCCCAAGAGGGCCCCTAGACGCAAGAATTGGCCCATTCCCTTCGTAAAACGTACATTTTTAACAAAGTCGCCTTTTGGGCTTTCCGACGTTACAGGACGGCCCAAGAGGCGCCCAAGACCGCCCCAAGACGGCCCAAGAAGCTTCCCAGAGGGCCCCAGGACAGCCCAAGAGGGCCCCAAGACGGCCCAAGAGGCGCCCAAGATGGCCCAAGAGGGCCCCAAGACGGGCCCAAGAGGGGGCCCAGAGGGGGACCACGAACCGCAAGCTCGAGCCTTCCGCCCCAAGAGGCCGCCAGGAGGCCCCCAGGAGGCCCCTCAAGAGGCCCCAGGAGACCCCAGACGTCCAAGGACGCCCCCAAGAGGCCCCAAGAAGCCTCCAACATGCGTCCCAAGAGGGCCCCTAGACGCAAAAATTTGCCCATTCCCTTCGTAAAACGTACATTTTCAACAAAGTTGTCTTTTGGGCTTTCCGACGTTACAGGACGGCCCAAGAGGCGCCCAAGACCGCCCCAAGACGGCCCAAGAAGCTTCCAAGAGGGCCCCAGGACAGCCCAAGAGGGCCCCAAGACGGCCCAAGAGGCGCCCAAGATGGCCCAAGAGGGCCCCAAGACGGGCCCAAGAGGGGGCCCAGAGGGGGACCACGAACCGCAAGCTCGAGCCTTCCGCCCCAAGAGGCCGCCAGGAGGCCCCCAGGAGGCCCCTCAAGAGGCCCCAGGAGACCCCAGACGTCCAAGGACGCCCCCAAGAGGCCCCAAGAAGCCTCCAACATGCGTCCCAAGAGGGCCCCTAGACGCAAAAATTGGCCCATTCCCTTCGTAAAACGTACATTTTCAACAAAGTTGTCTTTTGGGCTTTCCGACGTTACAGGACGGCCCAAGAGGCGCCCAAGACCGCCCCAAGACGGCCCAAGAAGCTTCCAAGAGGGCCCCAGGACAGCCCAAGAGGGCCCCAAGACGGCCCAAGAGGCGCCCAAGATGGCCCAAGAGGGCCCCAAGACGGGCCCAAGAGGGGGCCCAGAGGGGGACCACGAACCGCAAGCTCGAGCCTTCCGCCCCAAGAGGCCGCCAGGAGGCCATCAGGAGGCCCCTCAAGAGGCCCCAGGAGACCCCCAAGAGGCCCAAAGGAGGCCCCGAGAAGCCCCAAATCGGCCCCCAAAATCCTTCGAACCTGCTTCCAGGAAGCCCCCGACAGGTTCAGAGGCTCCCGAGAAGCTACGTCAAACTCCCAGCGAGCGACGGGATGAGGCCCCCCAAAAAATCCCAAGAGGGTTCCAGTATTTGTATCCTTCAGCGCTCTCTGGCCTTCTTCCCCCTGCCCCCTTCCCTGCGACTTTCGTTGACTCAAGCTCGCCTCCTCTCCATTTCCTCTCTCTCTCTCTTTCTGCCTCTCTCTCTCTCTCTCTGTCTCTTTTTTGTTTCTCTCTCTCTCTCTCTCTCTCCATCTCTCTCTCTCTCTCTTTCTCTCTCTCTCTCTCTTTCTCTCTCTTCCTTTCAGATTCCGTGCCCTTGCGACCTTTTGCAGTCCCCGACGTCGCCACGGCTGGATCCGCTCGAGCGTGTCTTGTGATGTGCGGCGGTGCGAAGCCCGTAGAGCTACAGGGCTATCGGACTATAAGGCTGGAGAGCCATAGGGCGTCAGGGCTACAGGGCTATTGGGCTACAGGGCTATAGGGCTGTAGGGCTATAGGGCTATAGGGCTATAGGGCTATAGGGCTTGGGCCATAGGACTATAGGGCTATGTGGGCTATTCGGCTATTGGGCTATAGGGTTGTTGGGCTGCAGAGCTATGGGGCTATAGGGCTATAGGGCTATAGGATCAGAGGGCTATAGAGCTAAAAGGGCTAGATGGATGTAGGGATATAGGGCTATTGGGCTACAGTCCTATAGGGCTATACGGCTATAGGGCAATAGGGCTACAGGGCTATAGGGCTATAGGGCTATAGGGCTATAGGGCACCCCCAGGCACCCCGGCACCCGGGCACCGGGCACCCAGGCACCCAGGCACCGGGCACCCGGGCACCCGGGCACCTGGCCCGGCCGCATGGGGACGGAATCCTGCCGAACCTCATCGAACCTTTTAATCCGCCAGGACTTCTACAGAAGCAAGCTCTGATTGGGTACTAACCCATGGCAACCGCCGCTACCTTCGTCGCCGCGATTGCCGCCGTCTTCATCGCCGCCGTCGTCGCCGTCCTCGGGTTCTGTTCGGGCACCCTCTGGCCATCTCGTGGGGCACGCTGGGGGATTATCAGAGGCATCCGTAAGTATCCTGAGGGTCCCCGCGACTTCCCCCAGAGACTCTAACTACAGAAACTCGTTTCGTATTCCGGCCAGAAGCATCCAGAAACGATGTACATTAGCCCTGGCGGGGGGAATGATGGCGATTGTGATGTTCATGATGACGACGGTGACGATCCTAGCTAGAACCTAAGCGCGCGCGAAGCGCGCGCGTGGTTCTAGTGTGTATGTATGCGTGCGTGCGTGCGTGCGTGCGTGCGTGCGTGCGTGTGTGTGTGTGTGTGTGTGTGTGCGTGTGTGCGTGTGCGTGTGCGTGTGCGTGTGCGTGTGTGCGTGCGCGCGTGTGCGCGTGCGCGCGTGTGCGCGTGTGCGCGTGTGCGCGTGTGCGCGTGTGCGCGTGTGCGCGTGTGCGCGTGTGCGCGTGTGCGCGTTTGCGCGTGTGCGCGTGTGCGCGTGTGCGCGTGTGCGTGTGTGCGTGTGTGCGTGTGTGCGTGCGTGCGTGCGTGCGTGCGTGCGTGTGTGCGTGCGTGCGTGCGTGCGTGCGTGCGTGTTTGCGTGCGTGTTTGCGTGCTTG